CCGTCAGGTAGTCACTGATGTTGGGAAAGGCTGGCGGAGCTTGAACCCATGGGCAGGGGCGCAGGAGGAGAAGGACGAAAGATGAGGAGGAGGAGGTGATGAGGGAGACGTCGGCTTGCTTGCTCACGGCTGTGGGACGATGAATCAAAAGGACTACCACTACCGCCCACTGCAGGGACGCTCGGATTTACACGCTACGCTCGCAGCACAGTTCCGAGGGACCGAACAGGCCGAGGGGGGCCGAGCGAGGCGGGACCGAACAGAGAGCGGCCGAGCGAATGCCGAGGGCCACGAACGAGGAGACGTCGGGAGGCAGATGAGGAGGAAGAGGCCGAAGAGGATGATATCAAGACCGGCCTCGAGTTATCCCACGTTGTCAACTTCGAGATGCCCCCGGACGCGCACGCCTACGCGCACCGTGCCGGCCGCGTCGGCCGTGCGGGCAAGAGCGGCATCGTCATAAGCCGCGGGGGGGGGGGCGACAAGCGAATCGGCAACCATCCATCAGTGAGGGCTGTTCTCTCCATCTCCGAGTTTTTGGGAGTTTGGGATGTTCCTCGAAGAGTGCTTGCAACCAGGGCACTCGGGGTTCTCAAAGTTGCATCCCTGAGGAATCGGACGGGTCACGTCGAGGTCTCGCCGCGTCGCCGCCCGCTGCCCACCTCGCGGCCCACCTCGAGGGGTCGTTGCCGCCCAGGAGCGAAAGAAGGACGTACATGTACATGAATCCACGCTGGTTTCTGGAGTACGCATTGCGCAAATGCTCGTATAACGCGGCCGGTCTCGCGGATCGAGGGGCCGTGTTCATGTACATAGCTGGGCGCGTACGTCCTCTATGGGCTCCCTACACTTTGGGGGGGGGGGTCCTCCGAGGTCTCGCCGCGTCGCCGCCCCGCTGCCGCCCCGTCGCCGCCCGCTCCGGGGAGGGCCCGTGCTCCTCGTGGCCCACTTGGGGGGGGGGGCCGTCGAGGCTTCGCCGCGGCCCTGCCCGTGGCCCTCCCTGTTTTTCGGGGGGCGGGCGGAAGCCCCGACCTACGTTCCTCCTCGTGCTCCTCCTCCTCCTCCTCCTCCTCCTCCTCCTCCTCGTCGTCCTCCTCCTCCTCCTCCTCCTCCTCCTCCTCCTCCTCCCCCCTCCCCCTCCTCCTCTTCTTCCTCCTCCTCCACCTCCGCCTCCTCCTCCTCTTTTCACGCCTTCCTGCTTCCATGCTTCGACCCACTTCTTCCGCCCGGAGCTCGACCTAAACAGTGTTTGGGCGAGTTCGTGGGCCGTTTTCTTTCTGATGTTTGTTTTGCCGCAGAGGTGGTCGTCGAGCCTCGAGCTGTCCGGCGTAGTCGTTGGGGAAAGTTCAAGGCCGCGGTGACGCTGCTCAGCCTTGGTAAGACGCGTCGGCCACAGGCCCACCGTCAACCGATTGCCTCTGCTTCTCCGACCGGCGGACAGTGTCCAGAACCATCTGTCGTCGCGTTGCTGCGGCGGAAGACTTCGCAGGAGCTGGGCCGCGCTGCTCTGCGTCCCGCCTCCCCTCGGGGGACCGCACTCTCTGCTGATGGGCAAATCTCCCACCACCGCTACCACTTGTAGGACGGGGGAGAAAGGAGGATGAGGAGGTCCTCCTCCTCCTCCTCCTCCTCCTCCTCATCCTCCTCGCCTCCTGTTCGGTGCGGGGCCTGGCGCCCGGTTTGGGTGCTGGATCTTGCAGGATCTTGCAGGATGCGGCAAGACCCGACTGACCCGGGTCCGGACTGACCTGGGTCAGAAGATTCCCAATTTTGGGATTCCCAAATTCCCATTTGGGGTCCCCCAATTTTGGGATCCCAGTTTTGGGATTCCCAGTTCTGGGATTCCCATTTTGTGGGGGGATTCCCGGACCCTACTTGAGCTCCTTGCTTCAAGAGGCGAGTGGTGTTCCCTCCTCCCTCTTCGGCGGGCGGCGGAAGCCCAAGCTGGTTCCAGTGCCTTCCTGCTTTTTACCAATTTGAAACATATCCCTATCCCTATGTTTGGCAGCACCTCACCTCGATGCCGATCGTAAGGATTCCCTCAGTTTCTGAGGGTCTATCCCTAAGATTGTCCTCGCTTTTTGCTTGCCCATCTTTAGGGATAGGGATAAGTTCGAGGCTGGTTAACTTTGGTCGTGCGACCAACGTTGTGGTTAGGGGATGCGAGCTGCATGTGGTTAGGGGGTGCGAACGAGGTGGGGAAGGAGGATATGGAGGAGGGAGTGGAGGCGGAGGGGAGGTGGGTTCGGAGGCCGAGGAGCATGATGAGGATGAGGATAAGGATGAGGATGGTGATGGTGATGAGGATGAGGATGAGAATGGTAATGCGAATGATGATGATACTGCTGCTGCTGCTGATGATGAGGATGAGGATGAGGATGAGGATGATGCTGATGATGATGATGCTGATGATGATGATGATGCTGATGCTGATGATGATGATGATGATGACGGTGGTGATGGTGATTGTGATCGTGATGGTGGTGATGATGATGATGCTATTGCTGTTGATGATGGTGATGATGATGTTGTTGTTGCTGATAATCATGATGAGGTTGATGATGATGACGATGCTGCTGATGGTGGTGATGATGATGATGCTGCTACTGCTAATGATGACGATGACGATGCCGATGATGATGATGATGCTGATGATGATGATGATGATGATGACGATGACGATGACGATGAACACGATGATGATGTTGATGCTGTTGATGGGGTTGATGCTGCTGATGATGCTGATGCTGATGATGATGAGGTTGACAATGCTGATGCTGCTGCTGCTGCCGATGTTGATGCTGATGATGATGATGATGATGATGATGATGATGATGCTGATTATGATGATGATGATGCTGATGATGATGATGATGACGATGAGGATGAGGATGAGGATGATGATGATGATGATGATGATGATGATGAGGAGGAGGAGGAGGAGGAGGAGGAGGCGGAGTGGTGTGAAGGGGAGGCAATGCGGAGGCGGAAATGGGTCCGAAGGAGAATGTATTAGCGGGGACAGCAGGAGGAAGGGGAGGAGGATGAGGAGGACGTCGACGAAAAGGAGATCACGGTGCATGAGATGTCGTATTTAGAAGATGCCCGCCCAGGCCTTGGCGGGGGCGGTTCCGAAAACAACCGGCTGACCAACTACGCCAACGAGCTCGGCATCACGGTGCGACCGGAAGCCTCCTCTCGCCTTTCCTCCTCGTCCCCCCCTCCTTTCCCTTCTCTCCCTCTCTCTTCTCTTTTCCCGACTCGCCCAGGGCCCCCCAGGAATCCCAAGGAGAGCCTGAGCGAGGGAGGCGTAATGGCGTCGGCACGGCAGGCTCGCGTCGCTATGGCGCCGCCACCGCCGTTGGTTTCTGGCACCGCGCGGCTCTTCGATTGACTGCGGCTCTCCGACGGCGCAGGTGGCGCCTTCCGACAGTGCAGAGCCTCGGATGTCGGCCGATCCCAGGCCACTGGCTGCGCTGCCAACGTCCGCGTGGGGGTCGCCCTCCCTCCCCCGCAGCGCGCTCCGCCCCGCCGCCATGGCCCCCGAGCTTGCAGCACAGTGGGGGCCCATGCCAAGGAACACCCTGCTTGCCTCCAGGGCGCCCTGGGCGTCTTTGGCTTCCGATGTCGTTGCCCTGGAGCGCGCGACGCTCCCACGCCGAAAATCAGTGCACGCCCTCTGGGGCCTCAGGGTTGGGCTTCCCCTCTGCAGGTCTCTCGTGGTCGGGCCCGCGGCGGGCGCGCAGGGAGCCCCGGACCGCCGCCTCCGCGCCCTCCGCCGGGCATGAGAGGTGCACGAGTGCAACGTGGACTCAGGCCCCCGTGCGCCGGCGGCCCCCTTTCTTCAGGAGAGGAGAAAGCACACAGACACAGTGAATCGTCGATCCCCCAGAAAATGTGGGAAAATGTGGGCGGTGGGGGGGAAGACAGAAACCCAGGAAATCTGGGGAAATATGGGGACCCTTTTTAGTTGTGTGTGTTTATTTGTGTGTGTCCCAGGGCCCCTTCATCCTGGGGTGTCACATCCTGACCTTGCCCTGGTCCGAACTCTGGCCTGATCCCGCTCGATCCGGCTAAATCCCTCTGGATCCCGCTTGATCCAGCCTAATCCCGCTTCATCCGGGGCTCGATCCGGCGTACCGGCCCCCTGCTGGGGCTGAATCCTCCCAAGTCCTTCCGGCGGAGACCTCCCAGTAGTTGCATCCGAGACAGGAGGCCGCCTGCCTCACAGCGGCCGCTGTCGGTTTGGGACCGCAGGTGCTGCTGGGCATCGTGGAGAGAGTTTCTGCACTCCCGGGCGACAGCGGGCGTGACGGGGGGAATTGGGAGGGGGGCGGGGGGCGGGGGGCTGGTAACGCCACGTTTCGCGCCAGCGCCGCCTGGGAGAGCGTAGGAATGACCAGAATCAATTCGGAGGTCAACACGAATAGTGACGTTACCTGGGGGGGGAAAGGGGTCGGCCGGGGCGGGCAGCGGCCGTCGCGAAAAAACATATACACGCTCTCCGGAGTTTCCCCTTTCTCGGCTACTCGTAAGAGTGACTCTTCGCCGAAGTGACCCCCTCGAGGCGGGCCCACTGGGGTCCCGGGAGCGCTGACTGCGGAGCGCTGTCGGTGCCAAGAGGCGGGGGCCAAAGCAAACGGGGGTCGGTCGGAGCGCCCGCTCTTGTAGCATCCTGCAGAGCCAGGGGTGCATTGGCCTGGCCTTGCGTGCAGGATCCTGGAGAATCCTGCAGGATTCTGATGGATCCTGAAACGCCCGAGTAACCCGGGTCTGGATTGGCCTAAGCCTAGGGCAGTGTATCCCCGACGATGGCAGCGGCTGGCGTGCCTGGGTTTGGCGTCCTCCTTCGATCGCAGATCATGGTAGCCTTGTGTGCCCTCGCAATTCCGTCCTTAGCGTCGACTCGCGCCGATGAGCGTTTGGAGTCGATGAGATGGCGCCGATTTCGCGTCGGCCAGCGTCGATCAGCGTCGATCTAGCGTCGACTGGTGTCGATTTAGCGTCGATTCGCGAGAGTCGACAAGATGGAATGGGATGCTCCCATGAGTTGCCACCGAAGCGTCCTCCGCGCACCTCCCCGAAAGCCGCGTACCACCGGTCACTCCTGCCCACAGGGTCGCTCGTTGCGTTCAGCCGGCCCTCGCCTTGAGGCGAACGGGGCACCTCCCGTCCTTCCCGTAGGAGATCGGTTCCAAATTCGATGTACCCCCAAAAGTTGGTCTGCTCGCCTATATCTACGAGAAACATGTTGGAATGCCCTGTGGATCTGTGAGCCAAATCTCCAAACTCATCGTGCACTCGACGAGATTAGCAGTGCTGGGGTGCAGCAGCTCTGTAGCCGATTCCCCACCCGAGTCCTGGGCCCGGGAGCTGTGCGTCTGCACTCCTGGCCAAGCCTTAAGTCGGGCCTGTCCCCCTACAGGGGGATGTTCGACGAAAAATAAACATACCCCAAACATAATCAAAAAATAGTCCAAACATAGTCTGGAGACTATTTTCTTTTTAGTATTTTTTGACCTTTCTGGCGTATTTTTGGTGTATTTTTTATATTCCGTCGAAAATCCCCCTGTAGGGGCACACGCCCGACATAAGCCAAGCAGAGGAGGGCGCAGACACCGCTCCGGGGCCCAGGAGGGGCCTGGCCAGGGGCAGTCCACCGACCTTAGAGAGTGCTGGGCAGTGGCCGACGACGAGCGAGTGTGGGGGAGAATGACAGAAGGGCTCCTCTCGGGCCGGACGAAAGGGGGGGATAGGGAAAGAGGGGGTTACGAAATTTGCTGCATGTAGCTGGTTTCGGCCCCACCGAGGGGCCCATTCCTCGATACATGGGCGCCTCCGGCGCCGGGAGGCGCCGGGAAAATCAGCTACGTGAGCTGATTCTCCCCCCCCCCCCCCTTGGCTATCCCCCCCTTTCGCCCGACCCGATCCTCAGAGGGCGGCGGGGCTTCTCGGAGGCCCTCCGGCCCTTTGGGATGCCTCCTGTGCCCTCGGGGGAGGCTCGGAGAACTGCTCAGGAGGCCAGGGGCCTTCCGAGCCTTCCGTCAGGTCGGGCATGTCCTCCTACAGGCGTATTTTAGAGGACATGAAAACAGGCAACAAACATTCGGGCATAGTTCAAACACAGTCGGCAAATCGTCCCCAGACTATTGTTTACCATTCGTGGATATTTCTCCTGTAGAGGGACATGCCCACTCTCGTGCGCGTTTTCTGATTCGGCGTCTCGACATTGGGCGGAAGGGGTTGGGGAGGGGGGAGGTTTGGCTCTGGACTTGTGGCCTTGTGCGACTGTTTGCGCCAGTGCGTCCCACTGGGTAGGCTCCACCTGCTCGAAACAGGCGCCCAAGCAGCCAAGATCTACTCCATGGAGGAGGGGAGGGTTATGATGCTCCAACCTACTTTAACCTTGATCACCAGGAAGAATTTCGAGCGCCCCCAAAAAGTACCGAAACTCGAGGGTTTTCACGTGCCGGGCCCTGGGAGACACTCGCCCGACACTCTTTCGACACTGTTTCGACACCCCTTTGACACTTTTCTGGGTGCTCGAAATTCTTTCTGCGATGCGGTCCTTAAGTAGGACGGGAACAACATACAGTGCCGTTTTCAATACCTGCTCCGCGTGCGGATCATGTATAAAAATGCAGGGATTTAGTATTAAAACCAACGATGAGTTCATGCGTAGATCTTTTCCTAAATTAGCCATGTATTCAAACTCCCAGTTTTTTTTACCAAAAAATCATATGTACTAAAATCTGCCCTGTGAGGGGAGGGGGCCGGGCCCTGGGAGACACTGGGCCGGGCCCTGGGAGACACTCGCCCGACATTCTTTCGACACCGCTTCGACACCCCTTTGACACTTTCCTGGGTGCTCGAAATTCTTCCTTAAGCAGGACGGGAACAACACAAAGGGGAGGCAGGGGGCTGCGAGGGCCCGCGCCGATCGGCGAAGCAAGGAATGAAAAAACGAACCCGAAACAGCCAAGATCTGCTCCACCTGCTCGAAACAGGCGCCAAAACAGCCAAGATCTGCTCCATGGAGGGGGGGAGGGAGGGGCTGCGAGGACCCGCGCCGATCGGCGAAGCAAGGCATGAAAACAACGAGCCCCTCGCTGCCCCCCCCCCCGGGGCTCCCCGGCCCCGGCGCGGATCGGCGGCCCTCCCGGCCACGCGCCGCGGAGCCGTGCCGCTGCGGAGCCACGCGCCGCGGGGTCGGGCCTGCCCCGGGGGCGGCCCACCCGCGGGGGTCGGAGCGGCTGGGGGTCGTTCGGATGCTTACCAGCCTCGAGCGTATCCCTATCCCTAAGATTGACACGCCAAAAGGCGACGACAATCTTGGGGATTCGCCCTCAAAAGCCATGCGCCGCGGAGGCGTGCCGCGGAGTCGGGCCTGCCTGGGGGGCGTGGTGCGGAGGAGCAGAGGCGGTGCTGGGAGGGCGCAGCGCCCGCCGCCCGCGCCCCCGCCGCCCGCGAGGCCTGCTGCAGGTGTACGACCCGCGGGAG